AACTAGCTCCTAAGAACCTATATCACTGAATTTAACTTGATTCAATGACAAAGCTAAAGTTGTGCAATATAGTTCAACATGAAAGCATGGATTAAGGGAACCAAAACAAACTTTTAGTGTCCTGGAGTGCCTAAACGTATCTCTGATTCTGCTATAGTAGTTAATTTAATCTGAAGGTGGTCAAGTTAGCTCTGTATAAGTCTAAATAAACTTATTTCACTAGTTTTAGTAGTAGAAGTAAAATAAAATAATAAAAAACCCCACACACCCACATCTGATTGGATTCCCTATTTGAGGACTTCTTAAAAAATACCTAAAATGTCACATTCAGTTTAATAAATTTGTTGTCAGGTTGTCCTTTTCTTCACCTGAAAGACAAGCCAGACAAAAACGAACAAGAGCCAGACCATGCAAGAAGTTTATTTTTAAATAACTGTGCTATTTAGTGTTACAGAATCATTATGATATTAACAGCAGAAGTGAGTGGGGACTTTGATTTCATAGTTACGAAGAAGCTAACTGATGATGCAGCTGTATGGGTTGTTTCTTTTAATTGCTTTTAAGCACATACACTTAATCCACAGTTTCATGTTTTGATTTTTAAGCTCCTTTGAGATAATACAAGAAAAAGTAGTGAAACCTTGTTGTGCTTTAAAAAATAACAGTGAATATTTGCAGTATATTTAGTCCTTGGAGACACTCTTATCAGAGCAGCTTCAAAGACAACAGTCAAGTAAAGACCACTGTAAATACATACTAGAAACTTAATAATAAATTCCCGTAAGAACAGTTGTTTCAACAAAACTTGTGGATGTAATTGAAACTTATAATAGAAACAAGGCCATAGATCTAATTTTATTAGGTGACAGTGTCTTGATGATCTTAGAAAACGCTGTAGCAAGGTCTCAATTTGTTTTTCACATCTTTGTGCTACTAAACTGTATCTGTCAAATGGACAAAAACATCTGAGTGTTCTGTTAAGTAATTAAACTAAACTAGGTTGATCAGACACTGGTACTGAGCATGAATAATTTCAGAATACTTTAAAAAATTAATAAATTATTGCTTGGTAGTTGGTTAGTATAAAGAAAATTTAAGAAGTATGGAAGAAAGATAATTCAACTGTAGTCCAAGTTTTCCACAGACTGCGTACTATGTTCCTGGAAGCTAACTTGATTACTTGTGTATGAGCTATCTTTTGGTCGTTTTGTAGCCTTTACCCACCCAAGGAAATTCTTGTCATGAGGACAGTTAGGTACTAGCTGAATTAAGCCACTTTTCACACTGCAGTTCTCCTGCTAATGAAAACGGCAGCAGTGAGATATGTGCCGAGGAAGTAGATGTGAGTTCTTCAGAAAGTGTCTGCTGTTTGCTTTAAGAGCTGGCCTGTGTCTTCAAAGGCAGCAGCTATTGGGAATGGCATATCCCTTTGCTGCTTATTTTGTATCTCTCTGAACTCAGATAGAAGAGCTGGTGATGCAGGACAGCTTAATAAAAATAACTACCTAAGACAAACAAGGCAAGGTGGGAGAAACTATAGAAAAGGACTCAAATTTGTTTTCATGAGTTCATTCAGCATGTTGCAATTTTATGTGTTCATTGTAAAGGCATCATACTAATGTGTCAGAAGCCTAAATGTGTGTTTGTCTGATGTGATCATGACTTACACGGTTGTTTCAATTAAAGCATGCTGTGTTTCTGGTGCTTATAGTATTGGAAAACAGATTTGCTGTACTCGATGCATTTCTGTAGTGGATCAACTGAAAGGTGACAAAACACAGTCCAGTGTAGATGAGGCATAAATGTATTTTCTAAAATTCAGAGCTAGCTTTCCGAGGTAAATTTAGGCATTCTGTAATTGATAATGAAGGAAGAAGAGTTATTTTGTGAATTGTTTTGTGATGTGGAGACTCTACCTTATGCATGAGATCTGTATCTCATTCCTCAGGCACTTGTACTTCTACACGAACTCTAAATCAGTGTATTCCAGGCCTTTCTTTTTGATGCCACTTGCATAAAGGATCCCATCACACCTACTGGTGAAATTATAGTGCTCTTCTGTGTATCTGTCTTTCAAGTTGGAATAAATATTCGAAAGTTATTTTGGTTAAGTGTTATTTTTTTCCTTTCCCCTAAATAATTTTTCTTTTTTGTCAGATTTGCCAGCATTAATAAAAGGTAAAGACTTAAGTAGAAAAAAATCTCAGTAACTGTTTTATGCTTACTTTTTACAGCTCTTGTTATTCCTGGAGCTTTAGCACAATACAGAAAAAATTCCCGTACCCAAATTCTGTCTTTTTTCTTTTTGGCAGTAGTGGAACATTTTTTGCTCATTTTTTTCAGACCTAGATTACTCTCTGCTATATCAATTTCAATACTAACCATTTATAAGCACAGTTATAAACTACTAACTACTATACTATAAAATACTAACTATTATAAGCACAGATCCCACAGGACGGTACCACTGGAAAATCAGCAATGAGAAAAGTGTAGAGTCCACTGGAAAAGCTGCTGTCTGCTGCATCCTTGCTTTATACTTATGACATATATATGTCATATATATGAGAGAGAGAGTGTGTGTGTGTGTATATATATATATATGAGTATTCTATCACAAGCATGTCATGTTAGATATCCTGTTGTGTGAGACACTGTATTTATTACCTGAATTAGGAATCCCTTTGCAGTTGGAAGTAATGAGAAGCTAAAGAATGGAAGAGTTTGGCAGATGAAGGAAACAGCTGGGTTACAACAGAAGTTCAACCAAAATCCAAGAAAAGAGCACCACGCTCTGGAAGGATCCTGCAAAGAGTGGACTAAATATATTTTGAGCAGCTCTTATGTCACATGAAATTGGATAAATCTAAGAGACAAATGCTGTAATGAAACTGCAGTTAGCTGTGAGTCAGTAGACTCAGTGGGAAATCAGTTATTGCAAGTTTTACAAGGTGCCAAAAGCACTAGATAGCACTGAAAGCAGTTCTGAGATCAGTTGTGTATGGTTACTAGAAGACGGCAAAAAAAGAAGTGTGGGAGTATGAGCTTGATTTGGAAACGTGTAGATAAATTCTGATCCTGGAATTGGTTTGAAGAAACCAAACTGTCTCTGTGAATTCAAGCAGAAGTCTCTGTAAAAATCTCCATCTGGTCAAGGCTTTTTCAAGTTGAGTTCCAGTGTTTAACCATCTTCAGTGATTTTTTTTTTTTTTAAACTTATATCTAATCAGAGTTTTCCATTTTCCGCTTGTGTCAGTTACCTCTAGCCTTGTCTATGCCATCCCATGGCACAGGGATTGGACCAGATGATCTTTAAGATCCCTTCCAACCCAGAACATTCTGTGATTAAATTCTGAGGACAGCAGTCCTTATGCTTTGTAATAAGTATGAAAAATGCAAAGAAGAAAAGAACATCATCAGCTTTCTAAAGTTTAATTGCTTTATATATGTAATCCTTTTCAGAAGCTTGCCATGTGGAAGAAGTGAATACTTGCATTGTAGTCAAATGCTTATGCTATTTATAAAGCATTTGTATTCTCTTGCAGAAAATTTATAGCTTACTATGATACAAATAGAGCGAGTTAAAATTATTTTATGCAACTGAATTTATTTTTAAATTTGCACTTTAAAACTATAGCCATTAAATATTGCTATGAAAATGAAGATTAAGGCAAATGATGAAACTTCAGTAATTATTCATGGCTATTAGTATTGGTTTTGCAGGTGCAGAGTGCACATAATATGGTCTCTCTGTTCTATGCAAAAGGACTTTGAAGAGAAACGCTGGTAACTGACTTCTGCAGGACCTTCTCTGATAGGTGTAGTGCCCGATAAATGCAGCATGAAGAATTGATTTTATGAGCCAGCGGTCCCAGAGTTAAAGCATTACCAGGATTGCTAACAGCATAATCTAAGTTTGAGATGCTCATTATCATAAGTTGTTGTCAGTAGTGAATTCCCATCAGAGCTATTTTTGTCAGACCAGGCTTCCTATGGAAGGTTTATGATTATGTGTTTTTATTCATAGCAACAACACTTGTTTTGATAAATGTACCACTATTAGACCCTTTAATGATTTTTTTTTTTTATTATTTGAAAGGGTACAGGCTCTTAGAGACTTGAAAAATGCTGCGAATTCTGCATTACATTAAGTAAAATGCTTATCTTGCGTATGTGGTGGGGCCAGTTAACATATTTAATTGCTGTGCTCTCCCTGGACCATTGTGCTGCAATCCTGGTTATAACAGGGTGAAAGGTGAATGGGGCATTGATTTATGTTATTCCAGGATAGGTACAGGCTAGCTAATCTTATTCAGAATAAAATAAAATTGAACTGTAAATTATGCAGTATGGGGAGTTTTTATGCTTCAGAAATTTTTCTTGCCAGAGTTAGGGAAAAATAAGAGTGCAAAAAGAATCTGTGAAGTAGTAGCAAAAGGAAGAAAAGGGATATGTTTGGCTTTGGGTTTTTTTGTGGTGGGGTGGGGGTTTTTTGTTTTTTAATATTGTGGGGAAAAAAAGCATATTTGCAGTTTTGAAAGTTAGATACAGATAAAGCATACACTGTCTTCAGAACAATCATGTATGTATTTGTTCAGCCTTATATATAGTCTGTTTAATTTTTAGATAAAATAGAAAACTTCTTGGAAAACAATAATGAGCTAAACACACATTCTGTCAGTACCAATTCCTGGCACCAAAGAAAGTTCTAAAGTCATGGGATATTTTTTTGCTTACTTAAAAGCCTGATAACCTATTTGCAAAGCTAAAATCCCAGAGGATTAGATTGAAGAATGAAATTTTCCCTTCTGTAACACACTCTGACTTCTAGTGCACTAGCAAACCATTTACTTGACACAAGCCGCTTGATTTTTTTTAAACTAGTTTACAAGGAAAGAAAATGGTTTGAAAATTCTAACAAAAAAAAACCCAAAACCCACCCGTAGCAGTAGAAAGAATATTCAGATTTTTCTTATTGTGATTTTTCCTTTCTTTGACAGTGACTTGTTATCTTCCAATTATGTGGAGATTCACTATGAAGATGGAGAACCAAAGTTTTCCAAGGTATTGTGCTCTTCAAATGTGTAAGAATGGTCTTTCTGAGGGAACAATGCAAATAACATGCTGAAAGAAAAGAAGAAAAAAGTTTTACAAGAATTTTAAAAACACCAGAAGCCTTTTACCAGACATACACAGTAACTGTTATTTCATCTTGTAAGGATACCTCAGTAATACAAGAATAACTGACAAAAGGAAAGCTGTGAGTTGGGGCGAGGGGTAGGCAGCAGTATGTGGTAGTAGTGAAGGTGATCCAGATAATGCCAGAACAATTACATCTTGTAAAATGTAGGTGGTGAAGGGGTTGAAGTCAGCATCAGTGTAGTCTTCGTTAATTATTTATATGTCCTTAGCACAAAGTGCAAGGGGAAGAGATAATGGTAATATAAGCCATTCAAACAAACAAACAAAAACTTGCAGTGACTTCTCTTTGCAAGAATTATACAGTTGTGAAACAGAAAATGATTTAACTCCAGAGGATAAGGTTTCAGTTATTACAAAACTAGCATATTGCTAGACATCCAATTAATTACTTCTGTCAAACTAGCTCCCAAATTGAATTCAGTGCCATAGGCTATTGATCCAAAGACACAGAGATGAAAGTCACGCATGGTAGTTCAGTCCTGACTAAGGGAACCAGATCAGTCTTTTTGTTTGCTGTTATAACAAAATGAGGACTGGTAGGTTCTTAGGAAGGTTTATAAACTACACTTTCAAGGAATTACTTTTTAAATATTATGTATGAATGCTGGAATATTTGTGAGCTTCTTACACGTGAAATATATCTCTTTAGCATGGAGGAAAGCAGGTGTTCAAGTTGCATTTATACCTATAGCAAGTTGGGTCTGTTGTTTTTCCAAGTATTACATATGTAGTTTATTATTTTGCCCTTGTTATAGAGAATCTCAAATAAAAGAATATATTAGAGATTAGGGCAAAATAAAATAATTGCATTGTATTATAATTATTGCAATATATTGTTTTGTTTTCTTCCACTGAAGAAGAAAAATAATTTCATGTAACATATTAAGGAAGTATTTTCATTTCATTAAGAATCAGTACTCTGCAGAATGGGCAAAAATGCTAAATGATGCAAGAAAACAATTCCCTCTGGCATTTAGACGAGCTCCTGCAATTGTCAGCTGCAGCACTAGCATTGAGCACTGCGGTTGCTGAATCATGAATCTGACTGGAAAATTATATTAGAACTTTAGACTCAGCAAATGGACTACCTTTGCGTGCTGCAGTAACTTGATCCAAACTTCCTAGGGGATGTTTTCTGAATTGATTTATTTAGAAACAATAATAGAGCTCCTGAGGTCACATTCATCTGCAAAAGGCTTCATTATAAGTTCAGAAAATACACACACAATTTGTGAAGGAGAGCATATGATGACTGTATTCTGGTCTTTTGTGGTATCTTACTTTTTTCACCTGAATAAGTAAAAGATTGTTTTGTTTCCTGATGTGGATGTAAAGAAGTGAAATCTTGATGAAAAGTACTGTATTTTCTAAAAAAGTGTAGTTTATTACAACAGTGAGGACACTAAAGAACAAACAGCAATTTCTTTACTCAGATGACTGTCTTAAAAAAAATCTTGAAAAGCTAATTGTGTAAGAAAGATAATCACAATTTAGTTGTTAAAAAGTGTAGGTTCTGCGTTCTCATTGATGATGGGAAGGTAAATATATCGTGATAGCTTTCTGTGTAATAACTTTGATTTAATTATGCACAGTAGTCTGTTAGGAATTTCATTCAGAATCTGAATAACTAATTAAGATTCAAAATGGAAATAGTGCTGTGCATACTTAAACAAAAAACATTTAGATTTTTGGTACTTCCTTGAATTATAATAATTGGAGAAGAATGGGTCCAATGGGCTTGTTGGAATTCAGATGACACATGACACCAGAATTAAGAATATTTTGATGATGATTGTTTTGCAAAAAAATGTGTGACAACCACACTTAAGGGTTTTTTAGAAAAGTTTCTGACAGTACTTGTTATCTTTAGTTTAGCTGGGGTTATTGTTGATAGACATTAAAGACCAACTACTTAAATAAATAATAAATTAGGATCATTTGGTTTTCTCATTTTGGCTTCACTGGCACATAGCAGCAGAATTTCTAGCATTCGACAGCTTCTAAATTTAGTAGTCCTTTTTCTTTAGAAAAGCCAAATTCATGCTTTAGAAAGTTAAAGTAATGTTTCTTAGTTTCTTTCTAAATGTTCACAGCTTGAACAGTCTGTTAATGTTGCTCTTGATGCTTTGTTTCTGATGATAGAAATAAAGATATTATTTTTATTTACTCAGTTGAACCATTCCTATGAAGCCAGTTTATTTTACCCTTAGACACAACAAGTAGTTCTGTAAGCCTCTAGCTGTCTAATCAATTTATTTCTCAGCTATTTATGGAATTTTAGGCATTAGTAACTTTGCTGTCCAGCAATAAGAATAGAATTAGTGTCTCTATTAGAATAGAAGTGAAGAATTTAATTTGCCATGTGGCTGCCTATAATATGTAATCATAATATGCTAAAGATTTTCATTTTTTATACATATTTAGCTATGTACAATCAAATAATACAAAACTATTGTTAGTGCAGTAGAACTCTACTTCCATTACATGAAGAAATTAAATCACGCAAATTTAATACATAGAAGAAAGCTAGAACATTTAGAGAAAAACATTTAGACAAATTGTGAAACTACAGAAAGTAAAAAAAAATTAAAAAATAATTGGATATTTAGAAGATCGTAATGAAATTATTCTAACACTACTAATTCTTGTATATGAGTAGATGATGCTTTAACAAAACAATTACTTCTGACTAATTTCTTTATTGTAGTCTGTTAAAGCCTCCTTCTAGAAGCTTCCTAGCCTCTAGGGTACAGATTGGTCCCTTTTTCCAACTTAAAAAGCCTTGTGTTTTCTACAAAATGAGACTGCTTTAGCTTGATTCATGTAGGCTGCTCCGACCCAAAGTAGCCAGTAGCTTTGGAAGGTGGGGAGATGTGATTGACTCTCAAGGTGAGCTGGGAAATTGTTCAGCAGTTGGGAAACCTGAGGTTGGTGCTGTAGTTGTTATTAGCCAAAGAGGGTTATTTGCACGTAATGGTCAATATTTTGGAAAAAAAGCCACTGCAGCTCTATTTTATGAGGATCTGTCTTGTCACTCTGTCTTAGGTACGTTCTAAGCATGCTTGAAGTCCCCTCGGATGATTTGGTTGCTTCTCTGCCCACTTTAAGGAGAGCTTAGGCAGGAGCTAGTTCCTTCAGGAGAGGAGAGCTCAATGTAGCTCTTCTGTGGTGAAAACTGGGCAGGTCCAGGGAACCTGCACTTTTAATTCAGAGGAAAGCATATATCATTCACCAGAGTTTAGTTGGCATCTGAGCGAGGCTTTTCTGGATCAGAACTTTAAGATTTAAAGTATGTACCAATTCTTCTCTGTGGTAATTTGGTGTCCTGCTTTGTCCTGTTCACCCCTACATATACATATATTGCAACTTTCCTTACCTTCTTGTGAAGAAATGGAAACTATACACAGTTTCATTGTACACCCTTTTGCAAGCACATTTGGCAGTAATTCTGTTCAGCCTAATCCCTACATCGCTTGACTGTTCAAATCTCACATTGCAGCATTCAGCGTTTAGCTCTCCCTTATTTCATATCATTACGGCCCTTGAGAACTGAGGTTTTGGATTGCGGTTTTGGGTGTAGTTTGCCAAACTTTTTTTGGTTCAGCAAGTTTGCTGATGATACAAATCCAGAAGGAGTGGCTGATACACCAGAAAGCTGTGCTGCCATTCAGCAAGACCTGGACAGACTAGAGAGTTGGATAGAGAGGAACCTAATGAAGTTCAGTAAAGGCAAGCATAGGGAGGAGTAACCCAATGCACCAGTACAGGTTAGGGGGTGACCTGCTGGATAGCAGCTCTGCAGAGAAGGACCTGGGAGTCCTGGTGGACAAGTTAACCATGAGCCAACAATGCGCCCTTGTGGCCAAGAAGGCTAATGATATCTTGGGATGCATTAAGAAGAGTGTGGTCAGCAGGTCGAGGGAGGTTCTCCTCCCCCTGTACTCTGCCCTAGTGAGACCACATCTGAAGTACTTTGTCCAGTTCTGGGCTCCCCAGTTCAAGAAGGACAAGGAAGTACTGGAGAGAATCCAGTGGAGGGCTACGAAGATGATGAGGGGACTGGAGCATCTGTCTTGTGAGGAAAGGCTGAGAGACCTGGGTCTGTTTAGCCTGGAGAAGACTGAGAGCATATTATCAATAATTATAAATATCTGAAGAGTGAGTGTCAAGTGGATGAGGCCAGACTCTTTTCAGTGGTGCCATGGGGCAATGGGCACAAACTGGAATACAGGAAGTTGCATGTGAACATGAAGAAAAAATTCTTTACATTGTGGGTAACAGAGCAGTGGAACAGGCTGCCCAGAGAGGTTGTGGAGTCTCCTTCTCTGGAGATACTCAAAACCTGCCTGGATATGATCCTGTGCAACCTGCTCTAGGTGAAGGTGCTTTGGCACTGGAGTGGACTAGATGATCTCCAGAGGTCCCTCCCAACCCCTACCATTCTGTGATTTTGTGATTGGTAGAATCCAGATCTAAGCTAAATATGTGCCAGGTGATTGATGAACATTGTGTTGCTTGTAATTTTAACAGACCTGGAAGGCATCAAGAAATAGTTGAATGCTCACGTAACCTGCATTGCATAACACTTCTACAGAAGCAATTTACAGCAAAGAAATGCACTTAAAAAAGATCAAGAATGCTGTGACTTCAACAAAAGAATAACCCATTTTATGGCTTGAAGACACATAAATGAGTCATTACTGGACACAGTTTTTATCTTACAAGCAATTAGAGCTAGTAATTGGTATTTACTTCAGCAATCTCCGCTTTCTCTGAAATTTTACCTAATGCAAAGTGTTAAATCTATTTTGCCTTGATTTTTAAGCAACAGACATTAAAATCAGGGTAACTTTGTGTGTGATTCATTGATTGTTTTTTGAACATTATTAGGGTGGAGAGCATTGTTACTACCATGGAAATATCAGAGGTATCAAGGATTCCAAAGTAGCCCTTTCAACTTGTAATGGACTTCAGTAAGTGCAAATTCTCATTTTTCAAACAAGGTTAGTAAGTAATTAATACTCTTGAATATCATCGCTTAATATGTGATGGACAAACTCTCTGGGCCCAAAGATTTTTTTGATGTTTTGAAATGCCAGTACCAGCTATGCCAGACTTCTAGCAGTTTTTTAAAATTTTCATTTGGATTCAAGTCTTCTGATGCTGTCTTAAGAGAACTTTGAATATGGTAAGTGAAAAGAAATATTTTACCAGATGACCTACTATGTTAAAGGATAAACAGGAATTGTATTTTAGCAGTTTGCGTGCTTAGTATTCATGTTTGATTTTGTCAGCCAATGGAAAAAACGGGTCTTTTTGTTAGATTGTACAAGGAAAAAAATGTAAGAAATTAGTCCTTACTAGGATTAGTTATTGTTAACTGGAACTCAGCTGTTGAATATATGCTAATGTGTGTCCTAGAACTTTCTCTTTCCAAAGTCAAATCTACTCTTTTTAATGCTTTATCATTACATTGTCATTGCATTCAGTGTTAGTTCATTAAAATGTGCCTGATCTTTAAAAAAAAAAATATTAGTTTTAGCCACATGCAGTATTAAAGAACGTATATGGAAGTTATTTTAGTATTGATCGGTTTTTTAGCCCTAAGTTTGGTTTTGTCTCATCAAAAATAATATCCTGGAGTCAAATTAATCACCATGTAACCCTAAATATCACTTTTTTTCCTCCATGTTCTAGTGGCATGTTTGAAGACAGTACTTATTTGTACTTGATAGAACCGATGAATCTGACCCACAGTGTAGTAAGTTTATTTCTATTTGATTTATTTGGTTTGGGAAAGAGAGTGCTCAAGGAATAGCAAATAAAAGTATTAGAATAAATCAGTAAATGAGTGACCTCTCTCATGCATTCATATGAAACCCAAAAATATTTTAAAACTATTGGAATTTATTTAAGGCAAGAAACATGTAAGTATGAATTGCCACAGACGTTTCTCTGCTTTTCTTTGGTCTTTATTTTCCTAGTTATTGCAGATCATGTAGATGTAGACGAATAAGACTGTTTCCATAGCAAATAGTTAGTCAAAAATTATCAGTTTGCTTTAGTAGTTGAACTAAAGGATTTATAAATTCATAGAAGGGGTCTCTGGAAGTCGTTTATTCATCCCTCTCTAAATAGTGGGATCAGCTTGCTCTTTGACCTACCATGTTTCCACAAAGAGCTTAATGAAGCAGATAATGATATCTGGTTATCTTACACTTTGTGCTAAGTCAGTGGTCGCTGTATATCTTAAATTGTTCTAATCCAGCATATTCAAATATATCAGCATTTAGGACAGCATTTACACAAATGTCTTGCTAACGATAATTATTTTTTTCCTTCATGTTAAGTGTATTATAATACAGGTGTTCCTAAAACTTTAGCTGTTAATAGAACTGACTCAATTTTGTAGACAGTAGTAAAACCAGGTAGATTCCTACCTCTCAAATGGTTCAAAGATTTGAGTGATTTTTCAGTGAAATGATTCTGCAACATAAAGACTGAGAATTCTTAAGGTTTGTGTCCCACTTGATTGGTAGGATATATTCCAGGTGCTGTATCACAGCTCTGAAGCTAGTCTCTCTCTACTACTTACCAGTATGTAACAGATAACACAGCGGTGCAGAAATGATACGTTTTAGTGACTGTAAATCTGAACTTACAGTCCAAAGAAAGATCTGTGAGATCTTTGACTCCCGACACTTTCAAAGAAACTGGATCAGCATTCAGAGGAGTTAGTACCATTTGGATGGTCAATTATTGTGCTGTAAACGAAACTATAGAGATGGTGGAAAATGTTACATCAAAAAAGATTTCTTAGTCTCCTCAGGAACAGTATTACATGCCACGTGTTAAGCTGCGTAGTGCATTTTGATGTAGCACATATTCATAAAAGTTGTAAGGCTGAAAACTGACAGCACAGATCCAGTAAATTCATGGAGATTATATTTATACAGTGGCATCCATATAGCAGGCAGAGGAGAATTTGACTAAACTGTTTTCTTACTTGGATGGACAAAGGAAACCAGGATGTCTCTCTGTGTGATATTTCAGTAATATGGTAATAATGCTGAAGTTTTAGTTATAAAATTATTATTCTAAAATAATTTGGAAGTAGTGCAAAAGTTCTGGTTATAAAAGTGTGATACCATCTGCTAACTGAGGATTGAAGTGGAATTCTAGATAAGAAAATGAATGAGATTAATATTTTTCTCAAAACTACAGATCAAAATAATGCAGCTACAGAGAGCTTTCAGAGACTCATTTTTTTTATTGTACTACATGAGATGAATATCGTGGGCACAGCCTTAACAATGTAGCTTATTCAGCTTGATTAATCTTAACTATAGTAGATGCTATATAAAACTTTTTCTTTCTCCTTTCCTCCCCCGGAATAACCCAGCAAAAATATGCAGCATTTTCCTTCAGTGTGTTATGTATTTCTTAGGGAAACTACATAATAGTAGCATGCTACCCTTTGAAAAGAATTGCTTGTTTTGCCAGGCTCTGAAGAGGAGGTGTTACGAAAGAAAAGATAGTTGTCTTCTACAGCAGATACCAAAATGTGACAATCTGGGGCATGTCAGACTTCCAAAGAACATACGCATTAAAAGTTTTCTTCTTTTTAAGTGTTGAATACACCAATAAAACAGGGTGAAATAATCCTCTTAAAGATAGTGTATTGATTAGTTTCTTCAATTTTGCTGCAATTATAAAGATATATTTTTGTGATAAATAGTAGTAGTTGCTTTTCATCTGTGGGAGGAAGATTTCAACTAGATATATACTCTCTGATTTATTGGAATAAATGATCTGTGTTCTCTAACAGTAAGGCTTTTTTAATGGACGCCTTTGAGATTACTTGAAAAAAATCTGTGATATCTCAGTTTTGTAGGCCAATAAATGTGCTGAAGCAGAAAGCCTCTATGATGAGCTCAGGATTGCAAATAGATTGCTTCAAATTGCTACTATGCTAAATTGGTACTATGGTTGCTTGCATTTTATGGGAAAATAATAAAAAAATATAAATACTGAAAGAAGTGCCTCACTTTTCACTTGACATTATTAATTAGAAGAAAATGTCACATATTTTTCTTATCAGGAAAGTAAAAGTAGGCCACATGTCATCCAAAGAATTTATGGAACACAAGCCTCCGAGCAGTTGCAGAACCTTGGTATGTTTTTGCATATGTTATGAGTTTTTCAATGTTGAAAATAATTGTATATATAATTTGAATATTAGGTGGACAGTCTATATAAAATTGCTAATTATTTAGAAAAACTTGAAAAATAGATACTAACCTGACTTTCTTCACAATTATTGCAATGGAATTTAAAGTTATCAAAAAGCAGCTGAAAGATTTCAGCCATGAAGACCTTTATTTAGATTTCTTCTGCAAATAATTTCATCAGTGACATTAATGCTATTGAGGGCACAAGATGGCAGAAAATGTACATTCCAAGTGCAGGTTACAATCCGTTTACCACCTCTTGCATGCTTTAATTCTCACTTTAGATTTATAGATTACTTGAGTTTTGATAAGAGTTTACATTTTGTGTACTTTTAAAAATTAACTAGGTTTCAAAGGTTCTACTAATTTTGGTGATCTTAATTTACTTTTGGTTTGGACAGTGTACATAAGTATTTTAAAGTAATGCAATGATATTCTTAAATTGTAATTTGTAGAGACTGAATCTAGTTCTGAATGGCCCCTTCTGTCTGAACTTCAGTGGCTGAGGAGAAAGAGAAGAAAGAGAGCAGTGAGTAGAAGTGTGACCCTGAGTTAAGACCATTTATAAAACCAAAACCCATTAATTTCTGGATTTTTTTAATGTTGAGAGAGCACATGCTTTAGAAAACAAATACGTTTGGTAGCTTTATATTGTCACATAATGAACTTGTCAAATGATAAATCAAGAAGATTATTCTTTAAAAATAGAATATTTGGAGAAAGGTGGGTAAACTTTCTAAAGTGACAGCAATACTCTACATCAGTAGTACAGAAGTTTAGTAGTGAAAATGAGTTTAGATAGTGATGAATTTTAAGTTTTGAGTCTGCTTGAAGATGAAGAATAATTTTGAATTAAGTCTTGCTAATTTGTAGATACCTGACTTTTTTTTCATTAGTCTTGTGAAGTGATTAAATTAAAAATCCAAGTGAGGACACCCGGAACTGGATTGTTGCAAGGATAAAAGTGGACAGTCCTCAAGTTCCGCACATGCTGCGTGTGTCAGAGTTAGGGGAATAACTGAGTTAAAGATGATTAATCTGTATTTCCCTACTGATTTGCACAACCCACAGCATGTTGTTTGGAGATGCATCTATTTATAGTAATTTTCTTCCTCATTAAATCTGTGGCAAATAGTACAGTAGAGCAAGCATTTTTAGTGTTTGAGATTTTTCTCCTTTGTGAAAATCAGAGAGGAGGGAAGCAACGATGGCTTCCACGCTGAACCAAAAAGTGTGGAGTCTAAATATTCTTAATGATGTGACTCAGATTCTCAGCCAGTGTCTGTCATAACTGAGCAAGTTGCTGTAGTTATGATTTTTTACCCTAGTTGAACATCTGACCCAGTTTTTACATGCTTACACACCCTACATAATATTTATGGGTAATCCTTTTTATATCAGTTGCAGTTATTACTGAAAATCACTACATCTTCATGATTTCTCAAAAAATTTCTTTAATCCATCAGGTATCTCGTGGTGTCTTTGAAGAAATGAAATATCTGGAGCTCATGATAGTCAATGACCATAAAATGGTAAGTATATAAATTCAGTGGTAATCTTCCTTTTGATGATAAGTTGTAGGTTGAGCATTGTGCTCCATCAATTACTTTTTGGTCAAATAATTAGTTTATCAGCAGCTGTTCAATTTTGTGCTGTAAGCACAATACAGACCATAATACCTAAGATTTTCTACAGCAGTTATATATTCAAAATACATTGGAAACACTTTTGTATCATATGAATAATTTAATATGCTCATAACCAACACAGTAAAGCAGCAAAACACTTATGTCCAGAACTAACTAACTGGCATATTTAAAATTAAATCCTATCCTTAAAGTAATAAAGAAAGAGGTCAGAAATTCTTACTTTGAATTTAATTTTTGTAACTGAAATTTTAATACAGCAAAACATATAGACAAAACTATCTGGTTGTTCTTTCTTGGTATTCCACACTTACACTTCATCATGTATTCTGTTTATAAGATAAGTTGTTTGTTTGGTTCAGGAACTGTTTGTCATGTGATTTATTAAAGAAAAAAAAAGCCCACTTTTTTTTTTCTCTTGAGGTATGGCTAGAAGAACACTTATCAACTGACATTTGTTATTTAAATGTCACTGCTTCCACTAATTATGCCAAGTAAGGCTATTAAAGTGTCCATGTGTTACCCCTATGAAAAATCAGGAGAGAGGGGCCTGGGGAGTGTAAGTTAAGTTTTGTAAACTTAAACTACTATTTTAAGACCCTATATGAAAAGCATAACAAATTTGAGTCCAACATTTAACTGCAGTATATCTGTTATGGAAAAATGCTCAGTGTAGGTTTAAAGGTTTTCTAGTAACAAAGAATATACTGCAACCAGCAGTGAGTTCCTCTATAAACAACTTGATTGTGCCTTGTTCTGAGCCCTTGTCTCGCTTAGTTTTCTCGGCTATTCATTGACTAAAAACTCTTAGTATGACTTTGCTTCTGTGTGAGCAAGACCTTTTTTATAAATCAAGTTCTGTTGATAAAACCATTTCTGCTTATTTTATGTGCAAGTAAAATAAACTTTTAAGTTTCTGTAAGAGCTCCTTCCCTGCATATCTCACTCTGCTGCATGTTTTCCCAATGCTTTATGTTGTGGACTCTTCTGTCAATACTGAAGGGTGATTTTAAAGAGCCAGAAATAGCAGATATCAGAACGGGATGCAGCATTTTGTACTTGTTCCAGTGCTGAATAGCCAGATAATATAACCTTCTCTCATCTCTTCAATAAATCATAGAAATAGTCTGAGCAAAAATAACCTATGCTTAGTCTGCAGCAATTCAGCAATGTGGGGGAATTCAAATAGGTGGGAAGAATAGGACAGAAATTTCTTGAACTGTTTTCACTTGTAAAGCCACCTGGTGGGAAACTATTCTGAGAGTGCTCACATGTTAGGTGTATAGGGGTAGGGCATAATAACTGCAGTTGTGGACATTTTGTTGTCTGAGGTCTGTAGTTGGTCTTCCTTATGAAGAGAAAATATTTCTATGTCAGTTTGTTTCTTCTGGCCTCTCCTATTACAAACGTGCTTAAAGGACAACCATCCTGTTCACCACAGTTGTTACAGACATTAACTGTTGTTTCCCCTGAGGCTTTATTTGTTAGAACTTTAGCCCACAAGCTTTCAAGACTTTTTGCTTCAGAGTTGTCAGTGGCTCAGAAGCAGATAGTAATTATTTTCAAGGAATAAAATGGATATACTTAAGGAAGTGTTCACAATTAGGAGTTAAAGCCTGCCAATCCAGGAGCTCACTAAATGTGCTTTTAAGGTTTTCTGTTTACCAGTAGAGGGCAGATTTCTCCTGCAGCAAGGTTCTGTGCTGGAAGAAGTATCTTAAACCTCTTAGGCCATTGTGTTGTTAAGTGGATAATCTTATGTATTTTCATGAAATTGTTGTTTCCTGCAATGCTAAAGACACAGCTAAACACATTTAATTAGATTGTTGCACTTTTTACTTATTTACTCAGCTTAATTTCTGTTTTAGGAGCTGTATTTAAACACATTATGTCATATATTTCTATTGATTTTGGTTTTAAATACTTTCGTGAAAACAAAAGATTTTCCAAAGCATATTATTTTACCTTTCTGGGAAAGTTTGAGACACCCTTTTCCCTCTCTTCCATTATTTTGTCCTAGTATCATGGTTCCCTAGAGAACAGAGTCCCGTGATATGGATACTCTTCTTAATGTACATGCTAAGCGCCTACTAGCACTGTAGCTGAAAGTGCTTTGTTTTGAGAAGAGTTATAGGGGATAGGGTCTCTGCAAACCTATGTTGTAGGATCTTTGGGTATTTAAATCCTGCTGTGGATGTGCTGACGCATTGTGGAGCTTAACAGTGAATAACTGCATATGTAAAAAGTTCATCTTTCTGCAGTGAAATGAGTAAGTGGCATCATTAAGTTTGGTGAAATTTTTGTTATCCGTCGACTCTGTCCACATAAAACTAGATTGCTTGTGCAAAAATAACTGGAATTTGAAGGGATGGAAAATTCATTATCTAATAACATAGTGTGTCACTCTTCTGACTTTCAATTTGAGAAAAAGATTTTTTAAATTTTAAAAGCATATCTGTCTTTCAGTTTTACTTTTACCTTTGTACCAGCTTAATTCTGGAAAAGAAGATTTGTCTGTTCTGTAATTTTTGTAATTCTGATTTGGGAAGGTAGTTAATGATCTAACTTATTTCAAGAAAGTAGCTACTCAGTTGCTCAAAGAGTCCTCCTTTTGGGCACAGTGTTTCAGAGTGGGAATAGCTGACACTTTCATGGAACTTTATAATGTTTGCTCATGAGGTGATGAGATTTGTTGCTCTTAACCAGTAGTTGAAATTAGTAAGACTTTTTACCCTCATTGTTCTATGCAATGTTGTATTCCTTTTCTGTGAAACTGAGACGACTTGTTTGTCTTGCCTGCAAATCATATTATGTAATGCAATTTTAGTTTATAATTTGTTTTTTGAAATCATGAATTCATGTTCAGATACCACAGCAGCATCTTTTGAAAATATGACTTGGAACAGTGGGGACTTGTGAGGCAAGTTGAAGAAAGACATGAAGCAGTTGTAATGACCTGCACAGAAATTGTATTACAACTGTATTACAACATTTAAGTCTATAGAAATGAAAAAGAAAATGAAGTTAAAACTTCATTTAAGATATTCAGCTTCAAAAATAATACTTTTACCATGTGCTCTCTCTTCCTTTTTGGCTTTTGGTATCACTAATGCCACTTGTCATGAAAGTCTGGTGCTATAGTAGAGAAAGGATGCCTTTGCAAAATGCTGTGCCCAGGACAAGTTGTAAGTGCGTCATCTTCATGTCTTATAACTGTAGTCATGGAAGGTGACCGGTACACTGCGATATTTAACTCATTGGGTTAAGCACAGTTTTAATGGGCTTCCTCTCAATTTTGAGGTAGTGTTTGTATTCTTTTTTACCTTTAATTTTGTCTTGAACATTTGAACTCTTGTTCTAAATAAGATACTTCTTGGGGCTAAATGCTCTTTTTATAGATGTGAAAGGCCGTCTAGCAGACATGGCTGCCTTTATCTTCCAGGGATTCTTGAATATGAGATGTAGCCTGTGATCTGGAAAGCTGTTTGATTTTTTTCTTTTTTCCCCTTACTCTTAAAATATTAATTTTCCTTTCTTGCTGTAAAAGTAATGTATTAGTAATAAATATTTAAGTTATCACTGTGTTCTACTTTTTATTCTCTTTTTAGTACAAAAGACATCGTTCTTCAAATGCATACACAAACAATTTTGCAAAGTCTGTGGTAAACCTTGTAGATGCTGTAAGTATCAATGTTTCTTCTGAAAACTGTATCACTGACCTTGTTAGTTTACTGCTGTATTTAAAAAGTTAACTTTAGCAGATACCAGGATAAAAGAAAAGAGCAGCTATAAAAATTTCACTTTAAAGCTCATTTCCAGTTCCTCTGCAGAAGGATGAGCTGGGGTGAATGTGTAAGAAAACACAAATTATCCCTGACATTTTTCTCAAAGCCTGCAACTGCCAGAGTTTGCCCTTGGTGGTGGATATTTCAGACTTGAAGGAGCTTTCAGTATCTTTCCCTGCTTATGAATGAGAATTATTTGAGTTTAGTTATTCTGAGTTAGTTTTGTTTCACAAATCTATCCACAAGGGGTTGAAGCTGCAAGTACAGTTCACAAAAGTTACACATCTATTGGGATAAAAAGAGGGTATAAATAAAAATTTTCCTTTATAGATCTATATTTATAGCTTAAAACCAAACAAAATCCCATTGTAGTACATTATAAATGGGTGGCACTGACACAGAAACCATACTTGTATCTCTGACTAAATTTAGAACACTTTCACATGGAGTATATAAATTAAAAGTAGGATTTTGTGGTAACATTTGTTTGTTTTTTAAATACACATAGTGCATAAACGTATATATGTGTAGTGACCACACACGTTTCAGAGCTGTGTTTGTAACGAAAACGAGATAAGTTATCTAGTGGTGATGAATACAACAGCTATCAAAATTCTGATTTAAAGCCCACTTTCCATGTGATGTTATTGATACCATTAGAACACTCTGATATGATTCAGTGCAAATCATTGTCAACAGTTTGTTTGTTCTAAGGAAGCAATACAATATTTGTTCTTTGTATTTTACATACAAAGTATTATGTATGCTGTATACATACTGAAAATTTAGGTGAATATATTCATAATATATGAGATACTGGAAGTGCTTTGGAATATTTTTGTGCAATGGTCTGAAAATGGCAGTAGTTGGAGGAAAAGTTACTAGAGCAGGTAAAAATATAAATAATCAAGGATATCAATAAATATCAAAGATAATGCTGCCTTGATACGAAAGTCTGGTGTGTTAGTCAGTGCTGGTTTATTCAGTGTAAATATGTCATAACTGCAGGAGGATATTTGCAATTCATATTGTGTTTTGTAGGTATAATTTGGCAAAAAAAGGTAATAGAAGCGTATCTTTAATATGGTGCCTCATCAAAATTACCAAATAACTTGCCTTTTGTATATTTTATGCATTAGGCAGCCAATGGATTACTTATCCAGTGCTTTTTAGATCATAACTGAGTATGATCAGTAAGTGATCATGTCCCATGTAACACTTTCAATGGGCAGACTGTCTGTTGCAAATATAGAATGCATCTTCTGTAGATCTGCAAGTTCTGAATAACCTTACTTAACAGGGTTTGTCATGTTATGACCTGAAGCTAAAGAGAGCAGCAGTTTTATTTCAGCATGAAGTATCATGCACAAAGTTAAAATGGATTTTTTAAAACTGCTTTGTAACTATTAGGGCCTGGTTGTCATTTCCTTGTCTATTGCTACAGTTACATTAAAATTAATAGAAATATTAGTATTCTTAAGTTTCACATCACTTGAGTAGCATTAAGTGATTGTACTATAAATGAGAATTGAGCATTATGTGAACTAAATTTTGGATGTATTGGAGAACTGCAAAATTATTTAATCTTGACTTAAGAATTGGCTTTGGTTATTCTTTGTCTTTGAGTTCTTTCTTTTTCTTTGAGATCACCCAGTGTACCTTTACATTTCTGCTTTGCTGTTTTTGTACAGGTTTTTTGCAAAACTTGGTGAAATTATTTGACATGAGAATTTTAAAGAAAAGGGGGTAGCTCAAAAAAAGAGCAGCAAGGGTTTTCTGTCCTTTAAAACATACAATTTAAGTTGATCAGAATACTAACTTTCAGAAAATCCAAGGCATTACCAGCTAACTGTTTCCCCGTATTTCCTTCCTGCTTTATCCCCTCTTGTCCTTCCGCTTTACTCTTACTGGCTAACTGTGCATGTTTGACCCAGTGTTCTACTCCTGTGCCTGTCCTGTCTCTGCCCTCAGATATACAAGGAACAGCTGAACACCAGGGTGGTTCTTGTTGCTGTGGAAACTTGGACAGACAGAGATCGTATTAATATTCACCCTGACCCTCTGCAGATGCTTCATGATTTCTCCAAATATCGACAGCACTTCATCAAACAGCATGCTGATGCTGTACACTTGCTCTCGTATGTACCATTATACAACGGTTTAGACTGTTAAAGTTTTATATACTCTTCTGTCTATTGCTTTTGTCTACCTGTCTCTTCTTGCTTACTTTTTTTGCTTGGTAGTTACTACATCAGTCAATATCTAATTTCCTTAGGAAACTGAATCTACTTTTTAACACATTAATCTATTTTTAATAGGAGTTATATGTAGCATGGTCATGATAATATATATATATATATTATGAAATTTTAACGTCTTTGCAACCTGGAGACAGTGTCACATATTTGAAATGTCTTCTGATGAGCCCGTAAGGACACCTAGTTTTGCTAATTGGGTGTGTAATGTACTGCTTTCCCAGAAGAGAGCAGGAGAGGGCAGAGCTGACAGTATTATGTTCTGCCACAAGAGCATTCCAGTTACTGTATTTATTCACACATGTAGCTGCCGTGATGATTTGTTAATGGAAGGTCTCCTGCTTTAGAGTTGTAATGAATTGTTTTCTCAGACACAATGCATTTCAAGGGGAAATTCCACTTGCATCATTAGGCACAACATCAATCTTGAGCAACAGTACTTTTTTACTTCACAGCATTGTAAGCAAAGAGGAGGAAGAGTGTGTTCTCTTGTGGAGCATAAAGATCTTAAGCCTTCTCCCAGCAGCATGACATACTATGAGGATGGAGTGACAAACGTCTTCCATGTCATTCTACCCCCATTCATCTTCTGCAGAGGGGATGAAAAATTTCCTTCAGTCTCTGTCATAGCTGTACTGGCTATTGTAATATTATATTATATAGGCATTGTAATACAATGCTCACTGCATTTTTCATAAGATACGCAAAGTGCTGATGATGTGCATTATTAAGTACTTTTATGCGTGTATTGCATTACTTGCTGAAGAGTTTGCTGGTAGGCAAACAGACTTCTCAGTGGTGCACAGTGAAAGGAACCAAATACAAACTGAAATATAGAAAATTCAATTTAAATATAGGAGAAAAAAAGCCCGCCTTCACTGTGGAGGTGGTCAGATGCTGGAGCAGGTTGCCCAGAGAGGCTCTTGAATGTCCATGCTTGGAGATACTAAAAAGCCAATGGAATGTGGTCCTGAGCAGCCTGCCTCAGCTGGACCTCCTTGGAGCAAAGAGGTTGAACTAGACCATTTCCAGAAGTGCCTGCCCACCTCAGCCCTTACTGTGGTTCTGTCTATTGTAAAGCATCTAGCTTTAAGCATTTAGTATAGTTAAGCTGCAGTTTGAAAGTTCTGATGGCTGTCAGAATGTTCTAAAAAAATAAATATATACCTCTCTGGAGGTATCCTGTCATTTCAAAAAACAGAAAGCACAATGATTCTGCTATTGTAAAAGGATTTCATTTTCAAAGATTGGGATCATTTGCTATGTATGCCCAAGGCTGTACAGATTGATTATTATCCCTATGAAGTTAAAATAGGTATTGTTCATAATCGTTTATAGACAGTTTATAGAATGTGTATCTTCCAGATTACATTAACTTAATTGAATTATTTGGAACTTAGCTGCTTAAAATAACTATTTAAAAACATGATGTGGTATATCAGTTGTTTAGAAAAAACCCACAATGATTAACCTTAAATGAAAGGAGGTAGGGTTAAAAAGCAGTATTAAATAGCTTTCCCTTTTGGTATACTTCTCAGTCTTTTCACTTGGAGTTGAAATTAGAACGTGAATTGGTTTGGTTTAAGAGCGTAATTAAAAACACTCAACACTGATAGATATCAGTACAAAATTCCTTCTTGAAAGATTACAGACTGAAATATACTGTTACCTTTTAAGGGGAAATGTTATTGTATTTCCTTAGAAATCTGGTACTCTAGCTTTCTCTGCTGGTTTGTAGGTTGTGGCTAATTCTAACTCTGCAAGATAAAAAGAGTATTTTTGTCAAAGGTTGTATCTAATCAGTGTTCTGTTTGTAAACTTGCAGTTGCTGTTGATATTAGATGAGGATTAATGTGCATGCAGTGTATCATAGTAAGTGTGAAGTATCTTTCAATAAGTTATTTGTGCCCAATGTCAATGTGTTATATTTTCTTTATTTTTATTTGTTCGTAAGGAACGTGACATTTCATTACAAAAGGAGCAGCTTAAGTTACTTTGGAGGGGTTTGCTCAGTGACTAGAGGCGTAGGAGTGAATGAGGTAATTTTTTTCATTACTAAAGTGGAATAAAGTAGAAACTGTGCATTGTAACCTCAGCGTTTATATGTTTCAGTGTGTATATATATAGTATTCAGGACTTTAAAGATAACTCACGTATTAAAAAATTAGGATTCTCACAGCCAGCCTTCTTTGTATCATAATTAAACTATTGGTCCCTGTGCTTTTCTTTTTAAAAAGCATTCTTCCTGTCTGTATTATTTTCTCAATAAGATCTTAAATTGGCTTTTAGTATACTTGTCAGAAATTTAGACCTAAAAATTTCACAAGAGTACTGAACTATAGCACTGGACATCCTTTTGGCTCTTCTCAGTATGAAGTTTGATCTCCTGAGGTGCTGATGACATGTAATTCTTTTTTTAAACATTAAAACTAGAAAAAATTGGTCCTGTGTATAGATTTTTTTCTTTAAGAAATATTATAATTAATTTTTTCCTCAGTGCAGTGTTAAATCGATAATGAAAATCTTCTGGTTTAATGTAGGTTAATCATACTATACAAGACTATTACATATGTATCAGACTCCTTTCTGTAGATTAAGCAGTGGACAAGGGTTCCCTCAGGTTAAGAAAGGAAATTTTTTTCTGTTACATACTTCATTATCTTTATATTCCTTATTCGCGCATAGTTTTATGATTGGCTGTACAGAATTACTGAAGTAGTAGATACGTAGTAAGCCAGAATGAGCCGGTGCACCGTTCGTTACAGTAACTTACTTTTTTGTGTGTGTGTGTCTGGTTTTTTTTTTTTTTGTTTTTAATTGTGCTTGTTTTGAAACACAGTATGGCCTCCCTTTGGCCATGGCACAGGAGCTAGCAGAAAGTCTTGCTCAGAACCTTGGAATACAATGGGAGCCAGCTGCCAGGAAACCGAGTATGTACATAGACATGGAGTCTTCTTTTGTCCTCCGTAGCTAAAAATATAAACTCTTCCTTTGTGATGTTTGACACAAATAGTAATCTTGCTGTAGCTGTAGAACAAGAATTGCTGCTTTTGGAAATACATGCACCAAAATTTGAGTTTAACCAAAATAAGAGCCACCAGTTTAACACTCATTTTGCAATCATATCAGTGATGTCCTGTGTCAAGTTGTTAGATTCATAACCAACATACAGAAGAATAATGGTATAAACACCATTAATTTAACTCAGAACTCCTTACCTATCATAATGAAATCTGTAATTCCTATAGAACTATCGCTGACTTCTTAAAATACAAAAATACCTGATTTATAATTGAAGAAATGGTAAGGAGCTGTAACCTAGTCCAGTGTGACATTTGCTTAACTTGTTATCATGCTGCTTCATAGCCAGAAAAGTAGACTGACATGGCCTTAACACATGTACAGTGTAGGTACAAAAGCTGCTGCAAAAGCCCTTTTTGGGGCTAAAGAAAGTTGTTGAGTTTTTCCACTCACATCTTGTAAACAATTTGGCTACTTTCTCTCTTTGTTTCTTCTTTAATATAATAATGCTGACTTTATTTTGGAATCCCTTCAGAAATCTATGAATTAGGAAACAATGTGGAAAAGTTTAGGCAATATTGTGTAAGCTTGGTAATTACTAAAAATTTTTTATATCATTTTTTTTGATTACAGGTAAAACAGAGTTCATTTAATTTTGAAATCTATCTTGTAAGATAGGAGTTTTTTAAATGATAGCTTAGTTTTCTTATTTGGATGCCCTTTATACAGAAAGATTAGTGAAAGACCTGGATAGAATGGAAATAACTATATAAATAATCTGTGAATATTTTCTGTGGAGAAACGGTATGGATTTGATGTAGTAACGAGAATACAGAACCTTTCTTCTTAAAAATTATTACTATTTTGGTATATAATTTTTATGGGTAGTTTATAAGTTCTGTTTTACCAACCGTAAGTTGTTGATCTTTTGTTTTTATTAATTTGGTCACTGTTGACTTACATGCTGTAAGTAAACTGTAAATCCATTTTCATTCAACTACTTTTTCTAATGAACGTTTAATTGGCTGATTCACATATTACTATCCATAATTCTGTGCCAAAAAGAAAAAAACATATGGCCTGTCCAATGACAATTCTTCTTCAGGATGTTCTGCGTACATTTTAGGAAGGAGGAAATGTGAACATTCTTAATCATCGGTATCATGTACTGCACGTACCCTCATGCTGCCTGTTTTGAGAGTATGTAGGGAAGAGCATTGCCAGCTATTACTAGCTTTCTATACTGCCTGAAACTTTGTGTTGAGTCTAGGAATGTGCACATATGGTAATTTGAAAGTACCACGTTTATAGTAAGTATATTAGTATCTTTTCAAGTGGGCTGGTTTCCTTTTTAGGACTAGAATTTTTAGAGCCAAGCAATCATCTAATCTTGTATAATTAGTCAAGGTCCATTTTTATAGTGAGTACTTAATATTTATTGTAAGCATATTTATAACTGCTTTCCTTTTCTGTTGTATTTTGGTCTTGTCTGAGAAGAGTGTGACTGCACTGAATCCTGGGGTGGTTGCATCATGGAGGAAACAGGGTATGTCATAACTATCAGTAATTGAGAGCTCTGGAATGAGTTCATAGTTTACATTATGACATAAATACTTATTCATTGGGTTTTTTCCATGTGTTTTAGTACTAATAAATGCAAAACAAGAAGCAGTTGGAACAACCCAGGCATACAGATCAATTATTTTAATTTTTAGAAATTCATTCCCTTTGCTGTTTACATTTTAGGAATCTATTAATAAATCGTATCTTTTGAAGTGCAATGCAGTGTATTCACTAATGCTCTGCTATACTCACAATGACTGAAAATGAAAGAATCTATATTTTTCATTAAATAAATCCAGTTATACTTTTTACATGCAGCTGAAAAAGTGTCGTTATGCAGTTTTGATAAGTGATATTTCTATTTTCCTCCTAAATTTTAATTCCTTCAAAATTCTGATTTTGAGTGAACAAATCTCTGTTTCTGTTCCAGTGACTAAAAGTAGAAATCTGAAGCTTTCAGCAAGTGCTCTGAATCCTTAGCTAAATGGTCAGTGAAGTCTGAGGGGAAAGCATGTTTATATAGGAGGAAACCAGGTTTCATTGCCTTCTACCCTCACACACTGCTAAATTATTCTTTTCTTTATACTGTAAGCAGTTGATTAGAAGAGGATAGCTTCTGAAATGTAGGGTTTTTTAGTCTTATAAGTAACTTCCTGTCAGAATTCTTGCTCAGTGTAGAAGCTTGATTACAAAAATCCTGGAGAAAATTAATTATAAATAACACCAAAGGAACTTATTTTCTTCATATGGTATTTGGAAATTGGTTCTTCAGTTCAATTACTGTGTGACTTTCCTGCAAACTTGTAATTGCTAGCCACCATATGGATGCAACAGAAAAATATTCCGTAAGTTTGCTTCTGGAATCTAAAGTAAGGCATTGATCACAATAGCTACTAGCTTCCTTCCTATGGTGAACTCATCAAAGTATCAGTTTTGGATGGGAATATCAGTAGAAGAGGTTGTAGAACGAATATCTTCTTTAGGTAAGGTAACAGTAAAAAAAGTGCTAGGGACAGATGATAGTCACCCAGAAGCTGAAAAAGCACTGACTAATGAAATGAGTGAATAATTAACTGCAGTGTAAAGCCTTTTCACTTAACTCTACGAGTGCCAGAAGACACTTTTAAAATATAGAATAATTCAATGGGAAAATATCAGCTCAGTAGCAGTGAGCTACTAGGAAAGGAATGAGAACCTCCTTATGGCATGGTAATCCCTATCTTCAATATTATGATGAGTTCTCATTCCCAGATCTTGGAACATGGCTAATAAAATATTCATTTCTGTGTGAAAAATTACTAATAAAGTATGTTTTCATCAGGCTGGGAGAAAGATGGAGGTGAGGAAATATGAGATGTCTGTAACATGATGAACAATATAGCAAATTATTACTGTTTTTTCCAGTGCAAGAACTAGAGAGACATGAAATGAGACTAGCAAATAGGTGACATCAAAAATAGGATGAAATTGTTTTTCTATCAGTCTGTAATTAAGCTGTGAGACTTCTTTCTGTGACATCTGGTAGACACTAAAAGCTTTTGGGCAAATTCTTGGGAGAAAATACGGTGAAGATTATTAAATAAGTCAAGATAAGGCTTTCTGAGAAAGTCATTGAGCTGAAAATTGGTGGAAGTTGGAAAAATATTCTGCAAGTATAGTAGTACAGTGCTCTGTCTACTCTTCCCGGGGCATATTCTCAGGGCCAAAATTAGAGATGAGATTTGAGTTAAGTGGATTTGTAGTCTGACCTTGTATGGCTGTTCTTATGGCTACAACTACTTTTTACTTTAAAAATTAACCTTTTTAAAAGCATCAGATGAATTAAGTAAATTCTAAAACCCTGTTCTAAAACTCTGGCATGAAATCAGGGATCTGGAATGTAACCCATCTTTTAAACTGAAGCTACAGGGAAAACAAACCCAAGAGAGCACTGAATTATGCATGCAATCGAGAAGGTACATAGCAGCTATTATGACAATGTGGTTCCACGTTATTAAGAAAAATAGAAGGCTACAGGTTCATATACCATAGATCCACATAACAGAAATATAAAAATGCAAAATGTTTAAAAACTTTTGCTTTTGTTCCGATTTTACTCTTTGAGAATAAGAGTGAGCTGACATACTGTTGCACACAGTGGTTGTAAGAAACTGGGATTTACAGTATTAAAAAAAGGTTGTGACCCCTCTGCCCCCTTCCAGTAAGCATTGGTGTTTCAAGGCATTTACTCAGCTAATTCTTTGCCATTTTAGGGTATACCATTCCAGGAAATTCTCCAAATGCAGTGTTGCAGAATACAAAGAATTTTTACTTCGTGGGGGAGGTGCCTGTCTTTTCAACAGGCCAACAAAGGTAATGAATATGTTGGTAGTCAGCATTTCTACTAAACATTGTAATGAAAATGTAATAATTCCACTAACACCCATCTGTTCTCAAATTTCTTCAAATGTCTTTGTAAGTATTTTCTTGAGGTTGCTTGTAATTAGCTGACTGTTCATTCCCATGACATTTAAAAATAATCTTAAGAGGAATGCAACTTGTTTTCCATCAATTCTTCAAACAATGATAAATATTGTAGTTGATTTTTCGCAACTAGATATAACCCTCTTCAGCGTGAATGCACTAATTATTAAGCTGGACTTGTGCAAAATAAATCCAGAAGTGTGATTGTAGTTGCTCCACATACACTCAATTCTTGGACTTTTTGCCTGAGGTTGTTAAAAAGAATGCTAATTACACTAGGAATTAGAAATCAATAGCTTACTTTATATAGACAGTAGCAGCTTATGATTGTTCTCAAAGTTAAATTAATTTCATTTCAGATGTACGTCTAGCAAACTGTGTAACTGTTTCCTTGTACTATCCATTTTTATCCATTGCTTTTTTCACCTAAAAACTTATCAAGGTCATAATTTTTTCTAAGGCAATATTAGCATGACATCCTTCTAAAGCTGAGCAGTATAAAAATATTCTATGTGGCTCTTTTTGCAAAGTAAGATCAAGCCAAAGTATTAACATTCTATTTAATCATGGTGTCAAACTTGCTGTCCTTGTAGAATTTAATACCACATGAGAATATCAGGCTGTTCTGTTTACTGTGCTGTATCCATTGGTAGACCACCACCTTGCACAATTAAGTAAAGAAAAAAAACTTGCTTGTTAGACTGTTTTTTAATCTTTTCCCAGGGTAGCAATATTCGCTTACAGAATAAGAATGTAAGAATTCTTACAGAAAAGAGTAAGTAGGGAAAAAGAAAAACACCACTTCATTTTTTGATGATGGTTGTGTAGCACAGTAGTGTGAACAAATTGTCAAATTGACTGTAGATTTTGGTTCTGTTTACTTCTGTGGAAATGCTCCCAGGAGAATAGTTGAATTATCTTTATATGTTATCTGTGTCAGTGTTTCACAGCTTTTAAGTTACAGTACTTTGGGGGGGAAAAAAACCCAAACATACAGTGTTTTGAATCTTCTTGTTTGGACGTTGGTAGAAAAGTAAGGTAGCAGTAACCATGATGTCATTTGTAATTATAACCTTTTAGCTATGCTCTGATATGTATGTAACCTTTTGATGGTTACTGATTATTGCTGTAGGCAATTTGCGTGTGTTCTGTTATTTTCTTGCATTTCTCTGGTTGACCCTTTTTTGTTTTCTTATGAGCTACAGGTCAAGCAATCAAGTGGCTTAGCTGTACATCTTTCATGTCTTAACAATTCCAACCAGTGCTTGAAAAACATGCTGCCTTCACCATTGCAGTAGCATGGCATATGTATTCTCTGTGAAAGCGTGTTTCTGTAGCATTGCACAGATGGGCTGTGTGACAGAAAAGTCATTTGATACTAGTTTTATTCTTATTTGGGGGGGGGGGGGGGGGGTTGGGGGGGGGGGGGGTATGCTTTTTTGCTTTCAGCTCTTTGAAACCACTGAGTGTGGAAATGGATATGTAGAAGCAGGAGAAGAATGTGATTGCGGTTTCCGAATGGCAAGTAGAGTTATATGTAACTCCACAAGTCTTTCTTACAAAAGTCTTTAAAGATGAATTATGTGATTGGTAAGGAAAGGGGAAATGTTATGGAATTTAAATTCTTTTGCCTATTTTTAGGGAACAGCTTAAAGGACTGTGTTAAAACACTTTCTTTTCAAGTGAGAATGAGTGCAAAGACAGAGTGTCATCAAAACAGTCTTCCTGTCATACTAATGACAAGATGTAGCTGTTTCCCAGCAATCTTTGAATTGCACTGTAGAAGTGCTTAATGCTCTACTTTTCCTGGATAGTGTGCCTGGAGTGGTAGGCTCCTCATCTGTGCTTTGGAGATAGATGTATGTGTTCAGACAGCATAAATAAACTGTTGTTTTCCTCTCCATTGTAGAAATATTCCAAGAATGTAGCTTTGAGTCTGTGTTCTAGTATTCAAATGTAATTACACCCACAATTAGTTTTCCTAATCTTTTTCTGCATTGCATGCCATTTAACTGTGCAGCATGCATTGGCACAGACTATTTCACACCTTCAGAAGGTGTAAATCCCCTTGTTGCTATAGCATGTATGTCACTGTTTTTTCCCTTTACTTTAGTATGTGAGCATTGCAAAGGATTCTTCCAGCTGATAATTGCAAGTCATCAGTGCTCAGCTGAATCTTTTGTCTGCTGGTACATAGTAGTTTGTTGGAAAGATTGTGAAGAAAAAACTTAATTAAAATGGAAACCTAAACATTTTGCTTAATATTTTCTTCAGGAATGCTATGCAGACTGTTGTAAGAAGTGTTCTCTTTCTAATGGAGCTCATTGTAGTGATGGACCCTGCTGTAATACATCATGCCTGGTGAGTGTTGCTGCAGTAGATCTATTGTTCTTTTCAGTTGTCCATGGAGGTCATGTGCAGCCTGTTATAGTTCAAAATGTGTTTTATGGAGAATGAAAAGGAACGGCTTATGTAGACTGAGACTGTTATTCCAGAAAATAGTGTGGTTAGTGCCCCAAATATAAAGGGAATAGATTGCATTGGATATGTATTCATGTGAAAACGGATTTTATTTGCATTTTTATACCAGAGATTTAAAACCTCCTAAATTTTCAAAGTATTATATACTTCAGTTTATGCTTTAAAATATTAAGAAACTGAACTATTTTTCAACACTTTGAAATAACTATTGAGATTATAGTGTTCTGTTGTTAGCCAAGCAAAGACAGACAAATATATGAGTGTTTAAAATGAGGAGTAATTCCAAACAGGAACCTTTGATTTTGCTTTTACATAATCTTAGTCCTGAACTCTGTTCTCAATTTTCTAGTTTTTCCCACGAGGTTATGACTGTCGATATGCAGTGAATGAATGTGATATTGCAGAGTTCTGCACTGGAGATTCTGGCCAGGTATGTATGCAGAAGCTTTCCCTGCTTGCACTATTGATGTTTGTTTGCACTCATTTTATACCAATTTAAGAGGAAAATCCTGGTTAACAAACTGGACTCTCATGAATAACTGGGGGGGGTTATTTCTTAACCGTAACAATAGTTTTAAACATAAGAATAAACTGTCATAAGCTCAAAAGAAAATTTAATCTAAATGGCCTCAAAATATGACTTCTGTAGGTTTATTTGTTTTTTAAAATTCATAGGGTTTTTGTATATCTGTATAGTATTTGTGTCATACATCCTCCATTTGACTAATACTCAAAAGTATAGGTATAAATAGCAACCAAAAGGTTGTTTTAACTTGAGTTCTTTTAAACAGTTGAAATTCTTACAGCAACTTTGACGCTTGTCTTGGTTTAACTGGGATAAAATCATAGAATCCATTTTCTATTCAGGAAAGCTGCCTTTTTGAAAAGACTACAGCACTCAATTTGATGAGAATAAAGTCGATAAAACACTTTGGTTTTGTTTTCGGCCAGCACTGGTAGCAGGTTGCCATAGAGATCAAGGTCTTCAGCAGTTTTGAGCTAGCCAGGTGCAGAAGCCAGGAGAAGTAAAAGCCAGGGCATCTGACCCAAGCTGGCCAACAGGAGGAATCCTTACCATAAACATCATGCTCACTATAAACTGGGGAGCTTGCTGGGGACTAGCCCCCTTTGCTTGATGGTAGCTTTCCCTGCCGGGTCTTGCCTGTCATTCTGCTCCTGAGGCCTACCTTCCTGTTCCTTGTGACCATCACACTTTTACTGGAGCTGTGGTGCTCACAGTGTTTATTTACCATTCCCTGCTGGGAGCACACAGCCCACAACTACTATATAAGCTGAGTATAACTCTGTGTACTTTGTATTTGTATTGGTATTTGGGCTTTTTAATTATTATTTTATTGAATCTGCTTCCATTTTAACCCATGGGTCACCTTCCCTTTTCCCAATTACCCTCCTCAGGTGGGAAGGGTAATCAGGTGATAGAACAACTAGATGATGATTATGTTTTAAGCAATATACACTTCAATACTGAGTATTTAGTGTCAAGGTTTTGTAAGACTTCATATAAGGCTCTGCAGAGGGACCTGGATAGGCTGGATCAATGAGCTGAGGCCAGTTGTATGAGCTTCAACAAGGCCAAGTGCCGAGTCCTGCACTTGGGTCACAACAACTCCATGCAATGCTACAGGCCTGGGGATGAGTGGCTGGAAAGCTGCCCAGTAGTAAAGGACACGGAGGTGTCGATCAGCAGCCGACTGAACATGAGTGTGCCCAGGTAGCAAAGAAGGCCAATAGCATCCTGGCCTGTATCAGAAATAGTATAGCCATCAGGACTAGAGTAGTGATTGGTCCCACTGTACTTGGTGCTAGTGAGGCCACACCTTGAGTACCTTGAGTGTACAGTTTTGAGCACTACAGTGTAAGAAAGACATTGAGATGCTGGAGAGGGTCCAAAGGGCAACAAAGCTGGTGGAGAGTCTAGAGCACAAGTCTTATGAAGAGCAGCTGAGGGAGCTGGGGTTGTTTAGCCTGGAGAAAAGGACACTCAGGGGAGACCTTATGGCTCTTTACAACTATCTGAAAGGAGGTTGTAGAGAGGTGGTTGTGGGTCTCTTCTCACAGGTTACAACCAATAGGACAAGAGGAAACGGCCTCAAGTTACACCAGGGGAGGTTTAGGTTAGACATTAGGAAAAGCTATCAAAGACTGGACCAGGCTGCCCAGGGCATTGGTTGGATCGCCATCCTTGGGTGTGTTTAAAAGCCATCAAGATAAGGTGCTCAGGGACCTGGTTTAGAAATGGGTATGGCAGAGTTAGATAACAGTTGGACTTGATGATCTTAAAGGTCTTTTCTGACCATAATGATTCTGTGGTTCTATAAATCTGCTGCAGCCATCTGCTGTATCAAGATCTTGGCTCTAAAAAATAAGATTCAGGATAGATCACATGTCTCTCTCTCTCGGCATTGACTGTAATTATAGATGCTAATACATTAACAGTAATCTCTTTCTATATTATCATCTGAGACACCCACACTTATAGATAAGTAGCTATTGCTGAGATTTTAATTGTAAATCTTTCATTCTGTAGATGGAGCATTCTTAATGGAAGGGAGAAGCGCTGCCCTCAAAGTATTGGCTAATATGGTCCATGACAGAAGCATACCCTTTCCAAATCTTCACAGGTGCCTTTTTTGATGAGGAAAAGCTTTGAGAATGGTTAGATCTGAGCTTAAGTAATCTGAGGCTTCTGGACCTAGTGACTTGTTTATACCAAAAAAGTCTTCAATGCTAAGAGAACATAACAGTTAACACCACAAAAAAGCCACAGCTCTGTAAGCAATAGACTGGTAGGCTACAACTAGGTGCTCACATACTTTCTTAATGGAACTGAAATGAATGCGGTGGCAGTGTTGCAAACCCAGCCCCAGTATTAGATACCAAATACCCGATTACTGAACACATCTGGGGGGTTGAATTGGGGTTTTTTTGTACTTTTTTGTTTTGCCTCACCTTCTTAATTTCTACTTGGAATATGCAGAAAGTTAGAATCAAACCTTGTATTTCATGGCTCAAGATGTTCATATTTGTACTTGTAGCTGTGAAGATTCCTGCACTAATTATGCTGTCTACCCTTTTTAGATGTTGTGCAATTGTCTTTTAAAACCATGAAAATGCCATATACACATTTTTTTTTCTTTCAGTGTCCACCAAATCTTCATAAACAAGATGGGTATGCATGTGATTCTAATCAGGTAGGAAATGTTTTAAAATTCCTGCACATCAGCAAATAGAAAGCAACCAAATACGAATTTTCTTTTATTTTTTTAATCCTATCTTCTATATTTCTGCATAATTTTTGTATTTTGGACATCAATGTTGTTTGTGCATTATGCACTCTGAATAGTAAAAATTTCTAGTGTGAGTAAAATTTGCTTGGGATCTTTACATTTTACATGTAGATTTTTTAATTACACTTCATGTTAATAAGTTCTTTACAACTATGTAAATGAGAAGTATAAAGCAGCTGCTTAAATGTCAGTAGGTATTAGACACCAACTGATTCTGAGAATCTGGGCCAAAATGTGTACTTCATCTGCCCAAATTCCTGAAAACTATTATACATCCCACTATATGTGTGAAGAAGCAAAATGAGACATTTGTTGGGGAGGGGAAGGAAATGAAATAATGTTTGTTTCTCATTGCTAATATGTTGTATTTTGTTTAGGGTCGTTGCTATAATGGTGAATGCAAGACAAGAGATAATCAATGCAAATATATCTGGGGATCTAGTAGGTTGACTTTAACTGCCTTCAATGTATTTTATTTCTGGTTCATTTCTGCCTGTTTTTGTGTTTTTATTGTTTTTATTTTTTTGTTCTTGCCACTGCAAGTTAAAGTTTTCTGCTCAGGAGAGTAGGCTGCAGTGAGAAACTATGGCTTGTTTGGCAGGTGAAATTTTGAGTTGTATGCCAGTTTGGGAGTGATGACACTGAGATTGTTCTGATGTGGTGTGGTTGCAGACATAGGTGGAGCAGAAAATGCTTGACTCTGGTGGAATTAGGTGAGAAAACCTAAAAAATATTAGTAACTTTGAGGTACTGTTGCCGGGGGGGGGGGGGGGGGGGGGTT